TTAGTCTCTTCTCAGTGAAGCGTCTAAAAGCTGCCAGGTGTGCGTATTAGTTTTTCTCAAACGGACTTGACACAAACTAGAGTCACCGGGGAAGAGGGACCTCAATGGAGGAATCGTCCCCATTCTGCTGCTCCGTCCATGGGCATGTCTGTGAGGAATTTTCTTGAGTAATGAGTCATGTGGGAGGGCCCAACTCCTTCTGTGCAATGCCGCCCGTGGTCAGGTAGGTGGTCCTGGGTTCTATAAGAAAGTGAGCTGAAGCCGGGTGGTGATGGTGGTGCACGCCTTTAATCCCAGCGCTCAGGAGGCAGAGGCAGGCAGATCTCTGTGAGTTCGAGGCCAGCCTGGTCTACAGAGCGAGTTCCAGGACAGCCAGAGCAACACAGAGAAACCTCCTTCTGGAAAGCCAAAAAGAAAAAGGTGACTTTTGTTTGTTCAGTTCATTGTTCTTATAGATTTTTCCTTTCTGCTCTAAATTTTCAGCTTAAGCTGGTCTCACAACTTTTACGACTGGTGTTTAATTAAGGCAGCGGTTACTAGGTTGTCTAAACACTCACATGAGCAATGAGCACGCGAGTAACCAGTAGGGCTGGCGAGAATCTGACTCGGTTTTTAAGACTCTTGAAGGCAAGAGGCTGGTGCGTGATCTGGGTCATCCCTAATTTCCTTGGCGTGAAGGTTACTAACTCATTGTGACAGAATATAGACTCCTGGTGTGAGGGAAACCTGACCTGACCACATGAGAAAAATGAAATAACCGAGGTGGTCTTGGTGCCTTCACAACTAGTACTGGATTATCATTTGCCAGGTGACGGTAGTACCCCCCTGCCCCGCCCCCGTCCCGTCCATCTGTTTACACCAGAACCCTTGACACTTAATAACATATAGAGCAATAGCGCATCAACATTTCCATGTCACACTTAACCATTTGCCATAGACGTTTATTTTAAGAGTTAGGACTTCCCATTGTCAAAGCAGTAGCAAGACACTCCTCCATTTCCTCTATTTCTGGGTAATATAATTTAATTTGGTGTTAGCAGACCTTTATAACTTAGAGGGACTATCTATTTTTTTTTCCTTTCCCCTCCCATCAGTTGCAATGGTTCAAAAGCCCTGTGCCTTGTGCTTATTAAACTATTGATGTTTCTCCATTCTGTTTGATGCTCAGTTGGAAAAGAAATGAATCCAGTCATTTTTTTAAAAAGTGACAGGATTCCTGGTGTGGTGGTGTAGACAGAGACAGTGAGTTCAAAGCCAGCCTGGTCTCTGTAGTGAGTTTCAGGCCACCCAGGGCTGTAGACTGAGACCCTGACTCAAAACAACAGCCCAAAACTGGAGGTGGCTTGGTGGTTAAGAACGCATGCTGCTCTTCCAGAGGACCTGAGTTCAGTTCCCAACACCTACTTTGGGTGACTCACAACCACCTGTAACTCTAGCTCCAGGAGGTCCAATGCCTCCGGCTTCCATTTGTACCTGCACCCACATGCACACACCTATGCACGGGCACGCGCACACACACACACACACACACACACACACACACACACACACACACACACATGCATAATTAAAAATAAATCTTTAAAATAACAATAGTTGAGACTGTATTAAAACAGCCATTATGATTTTTTAGGAGGTCCTGGCCTAGACTTTTATATAATGACCAGCAGAACCTGTCCAGAGACACCACGTTTTTACATTTTTCTGCTGCGTTTTGCAGTCCTGGGGGAGTCCTGGTGATAAATCCTTCCTGGTCCTTGGTTAGGTCAAGCATTCATACCCTACTAGGAATGATAACAGCAAGCATACAAGTGATAGCTGGTGAGGATGTTCACTGTCCGGCTTTTGGATAAATTCAGGACAGAAACGGAAGTAGTGAGGAAAGGGTCACCTTGTGTACACGTCACTTTAAATCCTGTCTAATTTGACAAGAAGTACAAAAGGAAAGCGCTGAAGGATGGCAACGCGGTCTCCACTGTTGCCACCGTCATTTAAAATGTGTCAACAACCGAAATTCTCAGGACTGCGATGCGTCTGTCCTTTAAAAACGGAACAGCTGGTTTTGAGATATAAGTTGTGTGTGCGGTTTACTAACTTGGAGGTTTATTCGGAGAGTTTCACAACTATCTGATGAATCTACCACTCCGATGGCTCCGTCTCATTGTCCCCCAAAAGAAGACCTCCCCCAACCGCAGCCACTTCCTGTGACCCTCTGAGTCTCCCAGCCCCCCAGCAAAACTCATCTACCTTCTGTCTCTGTGCATGAGTGTATCCTGGACACTTGGCACGAATGGAACTACAGATTGTATGGTCTCTCTCGTGAGAGCAGTCCCGGACAGTAAGCTTTCAGATCTGTAGTTTCTCTTTTTGAGACAGGGTCTCCTGTAACCCAGGCTGGCTTCAAATTCGCTATGTAGCCGAGGATGATCTAAAGTCCTTTGCTCATGTTTTAAGTTGTATTTTTTTGTTGTTGTTGTTTATTTTATTGTTGAGTTGGGATATGATCTGCAAGCATACCTCCCACCGTGTGGGGCGCTGTTTTCCTTCATGCTGGGTACAGCTGTGTGTCTTGTAATCTCCTTCATTATTTGGGACATCGTATCTTCCATACCCTTATAGTTCCATACCCTTCCATACTTCTCCTTCTGTATCTTCTCTTCATTGTGAACTGATGTTGGCACTCGAGGGTCTGTGTGCCACTCCAGAAGAAGCTGAGCGAGAACAAAGCTGTGCCTCCATAGCCTGGGACTCTGCCTCACCTGTGATACGAGCGCGATAACAATGTGCTCAGCTAAATTAAAATGAACTGTGACTCCGACAGTAACAGTCCCCCTCAAGACTGGCCCAGGAGAGCGGCTGGGAAGGGCCTTAATGGACTGCCCAGGAATCTGTGCCTAGGGAGAGACTTGCTGTCCACGGTCCAGAATTAATGCTATTTCTGGGAGTTTTAATTATTTACACCCAGTTGACGAAAGCCCATGTAACTGCTGAGTAACTTTGATAAGATCTGTAGCAGAGCCACTTTTATTTCCTATTGGATACCAAGGTGAGAGGAAGTGACAGGTGGGGAGGACCTAATATGATTGATTCACTTTCTGTTAGCACAGCAGGATTTGCTAAAAACCTCTTCATCTCCAAAGATTTACTGGAATTCCTGAATGAAAAATACTCCTTGATTTTTTTCTTCTTCTTTTTCTTCATGAAACAAAAATAGCTGTGTATTTTTAGGAGAAAACGTTTGGCAGCCATACTGGTTAAAATACTATATTGGAAACCACTTACTTGATTGACTGGGAAACAGATGCCCGCCCTTGTGGTTAAAAGCCTGTGGGTGGTGTTTTCTCTCCAGCAACCACTACTCTCCTGAGAGGTGAGGGGGAGGATCCCTCAACCCAGAGAGAACATGAGGTGTGCCTCCCTGCCTTTGCTGAGCCCCCACCCCCACCCCCCACCCCCGACACAGCAGTTCCCAGAGCATGGCAGACCCCAGGGCAGAGCACTTTCGGCCTCTCCGCCAAGCTGTTGCTGGGGAATAGGACCACTGCTCAGAACCACTGGATGGATGGAAAGATGGCAGGAAGTATTCCATTCGTCAGACTCACAGAGCGGAGACCAAGTCCTGGGGAGGTCCCACATGCTAACTGAGAAGACAATACTAACATGAATAGTGAAGAAGTAAATGTTATAATTCAGTATAAAATCAGCGCATTTCCTGGCCTGCCTCCTGCCCTCACACTATAACCATCCCACCGTCAATGAGTTTAATTAGCAGGATTAAATCCCTGCATCTCCGCCATCAGCTCTGTCTAGAAGGGATCCCACAAAAAACTGAAGAAAGTACTCTCGGACGGGATTCCTCCGTCTCCAGTGAGTTAGGTTGCTGCCCTCTTTTAGGGCCTAGGTGTGGACACTGGGAAGGAGGACAGAGAGGTTCTCCACTGGCAATACTATTCTTGTCTTTGGGAGCTAGCCACAGACCTTAGCACAAAAGCCGGTCAATGGTGTGTGGTTCGGGGAACTCGTTTTCCAAAGCACAGATTTCTCTGCAATGGCCGCTTACAACTAATTGGGCATCTGTTATGTTTGCTGTGTGCTCTTCCTGCATCCGTAGACGCATATCCTTCAAGTTCCTAAAATATAAAAATGGTCAAAGGAGTCTCAGGATGACGTGTGGCAGTAAAGGTGTTGGTTTGAACAATGTGTACAAGGTGAAGGCTGAGAGAGCAGCCTTGGTGTTATGAATAGAATAATAATTTGGAGTCCAAGAGTTGCCCTGTTATGAATGGATTATTTGGATATAGAAAGAAGTTATTTTTAGGTCCGGCATGCCTATAAACCCTGAAGTGTTTTACAAATGAGGAATGTGGGCCCTAAATAAAAACTGCCAGATGTCAGTCTCCGTGTGTGCCAACTAACGAATGTGTCAGCTCTGATGTCTGGAAGAGATGATGCCCATGTCTTTTCTGCTCCAGCTCAGAAGGCTATTTAACGTGAAATACCACTCGAAGTTTACAATGCACTGGATACCAACAGCACCCTGGTGTCTGGAATTATCTGAAAGGCTGTAATTTCTTTCCCTCATGACTCAATGTGTGTTTGTGGTATTACAAGTGTGAAACATATTTCTATTCAAATTTGCTATATTTGGGGTCTCATCTCATTGGAAAAAAAAAAAAGGCCAGCAGATGTTTTTTTTTTAAATTAAACAGCCAAGAAGGGCCAGTGGGATGGCTCAGTGGTAAAGGTGCTTGCCACCAAGCTGAGCTGAGGTCAATCTCTCAGACATACATGGTGGAGGGATGGAACCAGCTCCCACAGATTGTACTCTGCTCCCCACACCTGCTCTGTCTCGCTCATGTGCCCGCGTGTGACAGGTGCAATATAAAAATTAAAAACCAACCCGCCTCCGGGACTCCAGCAGAGGCCGTCGTAGGGGCCACCTGGGTGACAGGAGTCGCTCTTCCTGCCTTACATCAGGTGGCTTCTTGTCTCCCCCTTAGAGATCCGGGCTCAACTGGTGGAGCAGCAGAGATGCCTCGAACAGCAGACGGAGATGCGCGTTCAGCTGCTCCAGGACCTGCAAGACTTCTTCCGGAAAAAAGCCGAAATTGAGACAGAATATTCCCGGAACCTAGAGAAGCTGGCAGAAAGGTTCATGGCCAAAACCAGAAGCACGAAAGACCACCAGCAATTCAAGTAAGAAGCTGGTTCCAGCTGTGTGGGGGCTGAGCGCTCGCCTAGAGTGCATGAGGTCATAGGTTCAATACCTGGGGGTGGGGGTGGGGGAGAGAAGGAAGGAGGGAGGGAGGGAGGGAGGGAGGAGAGTCAGATGGACTGAGAGAGACTTGATTCAGGGTCACTTTTCCAAGGCGATTGGATACTCCACTTTTTCTCCAGACATGCTCCGTTCTGGATATTTCCTCTTTTGTCTAAAGTTATTGGCGATCAAGTCCCCATAAATGTAGCAACCTTTCTCCCTTCCCACTCATACTGCATAGAATTAAATTTATGTTTTGAATCAGTCTTTATAAAATTCCCAGCTACAGAGAAGCTGTTATCGGCCATAGGCAGACATTTGAACAGGGTGTGTTTAAAGAGCTGCTTTAAGCAAAGGCCTCGAGGTGTCTGTGGCGAGTGGTTGTTTGTTTTTCTTTCCATGTGTTGAGACCAGGTCTCATTCTGTAGCCCAGGCTAGCCTAGAACCTACGGCAGTCCTGCCTGCCGAGTGCCAGGATTATAGGCCTGCCCCACGCTCTAGTGATTTCTGTATAAAAGAGAAGCAATAACTTTGGTTTGGGTTTAGTGTTCCGGGAAAGCACCCCACCTCCACCCAACATGTTTGTAGTAATTAAAAAGAACATACAGGTTGTTCTGTTCGTGAAATATACTTCATAATGTAAAATCTCGGGGTCAGAGAGACAGGTAGGTAATTGTACATAAGTGTGTGAACAGGGGCAAGCACGGGGTTGCATTGACAGACGGGGCTGAAACATACTGTGTTATAGAAGTTGAGAAGTAAGGTCCTGGAAGAGTGGTGTGTGTGTGTGTGTGTGTGTGTGTGTGTGTGCGCGTGCATGCATGCCAATGCACGTATGTATAGTGGTGCACAGACATTAGAGTGTACTTGCTATGGAGGCCAGAGAACAAGCTAGGGCTATCGTTTCTTAGGTGTTAACACACCATTCACCTGCCCTTCTCTGCCTCCTCAGTGTTGGGGTCTGTGGCTCAAACTCACATCTTTGAGCTTACAAGGCAAACACTACCTCCTGAGCCATCTCCCTGGCCCCAAGAAGAGTGATATGTGAGTGGACACATACTGTCTAGCTGATGAGGAAAGGGGGCTAAAGAAGGGAATCCCATAGGTCAAGGACTGGAAGGAAAGGGCTCTAAGCCATGTTTGCAAAATAGTAGTTCTTTGGGAGTACGTGGTAATTGGATGGGCAGTGTGGCCACAGGCATCAATTGGAGCACACCACAGATTCTTACACATCTTTGTGGGCTTTATCCTGTAGACACGGGAGTCTCTGGAGTGTTTTAAGTTGAACTGCCCATACCTGCATTTAGGTGACAGGACAGGTTGTGGGCTACGGGAGGCTGTGAGTGAAGGAAGAACAGCAGGGTCTGTCATGGTGTGTCGCCTTATAATCTAGCCAGCCTAGAGGGAGAGGGGAACCCCCAGTTGGGGAGAGAGTTTTAAAAAAAAAAAAAACCAACCAAAAAACACCAGCATGGGCTTTTGTTTCAGAAAGCAAGATGGGCCAGGGACTCTGGAAAACACCTGTGCCATAAACCTCCCAGAAACAGTGGTTAAAGTATAATGGATGCCCTTATAAGTATCCACCTGGATTCACAGGAAGAGACAGAGACAGAGAAACATAGGGGGAGTGAGGGAGGGAAAGAAAGGAAGAAAGAGAGGAAGGAAGAAAGAGAGGAAGAGAGGAAGGAAGGAAGGAAGAGGGGGGAGAGAAAGGAAAGAAGGGAAGGAAGGAAGGGAGGGAAGGAAGGAAGGAAGGAAGGAAGGAAGGAAGGAAGGAAGGAAGGAAGGAAGGAAGGAAGGAAGGAAGGAAGGAAGGAAAGGTCTAGGTATTGTGCAAAGGTACCCATTCCTTAACCCAGCTGGTGACAAGGTCTACACAAGATGAAGATGTGGAGCAGTAAGCTTCCACCCTCAGCCCCTCCTTATTGTCCTGCAGTTCCCGAGGATACCCCACCCCAGTGACAGAGAAACAAAAACCAGCGGTCCTCCTACCCAAGGGCAACAAAGAGACCGCCCGGCCTGCTCAGCCTGGGTGTGAGGATACTGCTGAGGACCCGGCCTCTTTCTCCTCCATGATCTTGAAGTTCACTTTCATACCCTTCCATGACCTTGAAGCCTACATGAAAAGAAGGGTAGTCAGTTTGGCAAAATGGCTTATGGCAGGTCGAGGCCAAGCCGATGACCTGAGTTCAGTTGCCAGAACTCGCATGGTGGACAGAGAGGGAACTACTGAAAGTTGTCCTCTGACCCCCATGAGCCAGTGCGCCACCAAATAAATACATGTAATTCGATATGTACACATGCAGCTTCAAATCGCCTTTGACCTGAGCATTATCTGTTACTGAATGGAGAGCCAGAGAGGAAATGGGTCAAAAACTTAAAACCTGGCTCTACTAGCCATCAGCCAGACCTGGGTCTGAATGGTGACTAACTACTGCGTGGCTGGTTCACTACATACCTCCTCTGAGCTTTGGTTTCTCTAGCAGGAGGCATGGCAGACAAAGTCCTGGCTGTGGCTGGTGGCTGAGATGGGGATAGGTGTGCCGACTCCTTCTCCTTTTTCCAGACAGTTGAGTCTTTGGTACAGTCATACTCACACCATTGAAGCTAGACCTTGGAGCCTGATTTTACTCCGTGTGGGGTCGCTATGTGTGTGAACAGTCCTTAGCCTCAAGTTGCTACCTCAAATGCAAAGAGCAAGGCCCAGGTCAGCCGTCAGCCTCCCACACAGACTCCCTCTGACACCCACTTTGGTCCTTATCAAATCCTTGGTAAGCTTAACTTCTCTTGTTGACAGCACACAGTGAGTGGCTGTGGTAAGGATTAAGCAGAGTTAATGTCAGATCTCGATCACAGCAGCCTCTGAGACAAAAATAGCTAACGTTATATATGCAGCACTTCCTGTGTGCCTGGGGCATGATGGCAAGCATTTAAACGTAGACAGTAGCCCAAGTCATCTTCATTATAACCTCAGGAGACCGGTTCTGTTGTTTTACCCACTGTACAGAGTAACTGAAGTACAGAGAGGTAACAGTTACCCCACAGCCACACAGATAGGGTGTGGGAGCAGAGATGAGAGCCTAGAGTAAGTACAATCCACAATCCTACATTCACATTTAGGTGAATTTGAGGCAGGATCTCCCTGGGTTGTCCATGCTGTCCAAGCTGGCCTCGAATTTGTCATCCTCCTGCCTCAGCCTTCCAAGTTGCTGGGATTGCCCACCTGGACCACCCCAAACCTGGCTTGAAGTCCCCAGTCTCAACCTGCCTCCTGCCTCTTACTCAGTAAATGATAGCCGCTATTATTGTTATTATTATTATTATATGATTATCGGTATTGTGATTGGCACTAGTAACAAGGCAATGATAATAATGTGTTTGCTTACTCAATCGATGAAATACTATTTCATGCTTCCATCTGGGGGCATACTGAGGACACAAAGATGTACGAAATAGTCTGAAGGAATTTCAGACTACTTCGGGCTAAAGGATAAGCATAGTTCAAATGGACAGCGTGGCACTTGCTTCTGGGGCTAACAGGACAGGGACATGATAATAGAAAGACTCTGCTCACCTGCCGTGGACTCCGTTCCTTCTTGATGGTTCTAAGAGAAAAGACGTCCCAGGTCAGAGCTAGAATCCCAGTGCGCATGAGGATTTCTTCCTGGGCCTTTTTCTGTTCCTTTCCTTGCTTTGTCTTTTAGACAAGGATTGTAACTCAGTGTTTTGGGAGTGGTGGATATTTTCTTCGTTTTCTTTTTAAGACAGGGTCTTATAAGGCATCCTTGAACTCACTGTGTAACCCAGCCTGGCCTTAAACTCTTGATCGTCCTGCCTCAGCTTCCCCGATTCAATGCAATATTCAATGCAGAATCTGAGAAACCATATGGTAGAAAGGCGTGACTTTCTTTCCCCTGACTTAATGTGCGGTCATAAATGTTCATGAATAATGAACTGTTACATCATCTTGCTGGGAAGTTGACTGAGTGAGTTAAGTGCCTGTCACGCATGCCTGATGACCTGCTTTCTGATCCCAGAACCTGTGCGGAAGCCAGACGTAGCGGCACGCATGCGTGCGTCTGTCATCCCTGCACGCCTGTGGAGAAGGCAGGGGGCAGAAACAAGAGAGCCCTCAGAAATGGAAAGGCTGGTAGCCTGTGGGAGGCGAGAGCCCACATCAGAGGCTGGCCTTGGACGTCTACATCTGGGCCATGGCACATGACTTCCCCCTCTCTCTCCTCCCCCATCCCTGCCCTCTCACAGACACATGCAAATTAAAAAGAAGAAAAGTTAATAAAACCCCACATCTGATTACCGGGCACTTCTGTGCCCGAGTTTGGAGAAACACTGCCATTTTGCCATTTCATGGTTAGTTTTTATAGTCAACAACAACAAATTGTGGTTCTAATTTTTTTTAACTTTCTTTTTATTTGTTCTTTGTGTCTTTTCACATCATGCATCTCGACCCCATTCATTTCCCCGTCCCTTCATATCTGCCCTCTGCCCTTGCAACCCTCCCCTCAAAACAATTTAAGAGAAAAAAAAAAGGAAAAATCTTGTCATGGAAGCTGTGGTGTGACACAGTGAGTCACGCAGTAAACCCTTTTGTCCACATGTCTTTATGTGCAAGTGTTCATTGCAGAGTCATTGGTCCAGTTCGAGGCCTCTGGTTTCTGCTACACTATTGATGCTGGGCCCTCGCTGGGACTCCTCTTAGACATCCTGTTGTTGCCCTGTGTCGTGGAGATCCTTAGCTTTGGGTCTGTACAACCAGCCCCTTCACGTGCTCCCATAGATCATAGATGGGGTGGATATTGGGGTGGGCCAACTCATACCCCTGATTCTGGGCCCGGGCAGTTACAGGGTTGGTCAGTTCACTAGCTCTCTCCTATCCTCACCACCAGGGTGAGCCCTCCAGCACTGCCCTGGCTAGTTCAGTCCTTGCAGCAATGAGCAAGGCATGCGGCCAGTTCTCCTACATTCACGCCCTCAAGGCCGGCTTCCTACACCTGGACCATCAGGGTCAGCCCTGCTGCCTCGCCCAGGCAAGGTACAGGGGCCACTCTGAGTGCCGCAGCTGCTGAGGGGTAGGAATAGCTCTCCTACTCTTAATGAACTCAGGGTCAGCTCTCCCACCTGCCTCAGGTGAGGGGGCATCTCTCCCCACGACCCACACCACCATACGGAAGATGAGGAGTGGGGCCCAATCTCCCACGGTCACATTCTCAGCACAGTTCACCTTTACCCGTGTGAATAGGGTCAGCTCTACTGCGCTGCCCGGGAGACGCACAGGGCCCACTTTCCCAAGTGCTGCAGCTGGTAATAAAGGGGAGGGTCAGCTCCCTTGCCCGCCACAGGTGGCGGGGCGGGGGAGGGGAGGAGGGCAGGAGGGCATCTTTTTTTTTTTTTTTTTTTAAGCAGTGGCATGCTGGTTGCTCACCATGTTGGGGTGGAGTTTTTCCTTGAATACATATGTATAGACGTCTAATTTTGTGTGCTTTGCAGTTCATTTAGTTTTATTATCTGAAATAAACCAGGAGCATATACGAATCAGATGGCCCAGTAAGTTTCACCAGGACATGTGACCCATCATGAGCCAGCAAACTTTCGGGTTCCGTTCACGAGCCTCGAGACAATCCTATAAAGTTCAAGTTCCCCGGGGAATGCTTTTTTGGAGGCTGGAGGTTCTTTATCCAGGGATTAATAAATAACCATCAGATTTGCGTCCCGTGGAAAGCATGCCTAGTCAAATTTCTTTTCCAGCAGTAGACTGAAGAGTCAAAGGAGACTTTGTGAGCCGGGGCAGACCAGTCTGTGTGTGAGACAGTAGCCGATAGATTCTCATGTAAACAAGAGTGCTTTCCTTAGTGGTGTGCTAAACCCTGGGGCTTCCTCAGTACTGTCTGGGTCAGGCTTCTGGAGCCCCAGTCAGGGGTGGGAGGTTGTACCAAGGGTTTTTGATCCAAGTTTTCTTTCCAGGCTTGGTAAGTTGCAGGATTCCTGCAGGCTGTGGTATGTCCTGATCTAAGAAATGCTCGGAGCAGAGAGAAGAATACAGCACCTCTCTGCTGTGGCTCCTCTGCCCTCATGGGTGACCTCTTCTGGCTGACCCGGGCTGCTTGGACAGGATGGTAGGTAATTCTGTCCTCCTTTACCTCCCAGGAAAGATCAGAACCTGTTGTCTCCAGTGAACTGCTGGTACTTGCTCCTGAACCAAGTGAGGCGAGAAAGCAAAGACCACGCCACCCTGAGCGACATCTATCTGAACAACGTCATCATGCGGTTCATGCAAATAAGCGAGGATTCCACCCGGATGTTTAAAAAGGTAGAGTCCATCCCTCCCTGCCATCCCAAACTTCCAGATAACCACCTTACGTACAGCCACTTAGGAGGAAGTGCCTGAAAAGAATGAAAGGCACCAATATTCTGAACTTGAGCGTGTGTGTTTATACTGTATGTTTGTGCATGGTGTGTGTGTATACATGTGTGTGCATATGTATAATGCATGTAGCATTATCTACTGGATATATTTATTTCTATTCAGTAAATGAATGAATATCTGACCTGAGCATCATGAAGGAAGGTATTTGGCGGGGGAGGGGGGAGGGGGGGGGTCCCTGCAGGGGGGTGGAGAGATGGCTCAGCAGTTAAGAATTCACACTACTCTTGCAGAGGAAGTGAGTTTGGTTCCCAGGACCCAGGTTGGGCAGGCAGCTCACAACTCCAGATCCAGGGAGATCTGATGCCTCTGCCCTCCCTGAGCATGCGCATTGATACACACACACACACACACACACACACACACACACTTAATGAAAACAATAAACATCTTACTTTTTTTTTTAAGTACCTGCAAGTCTTATCTTTGTCCTTAGAACTGACCTCCACACTTAGAAACGAGCCGCACTTAGAGAGGAGAGCCTCGGGTTCTGGTTTTTCCAGCTCACACGTGACCAGACTTGTAAAGCACATCACGTGTGTTGCCCTCCCAGGAAAATGTTACCACATTGTCTTCATACTCCAGGCTGCAGGGTCTCTGAGAGTGAAACGGAAAAAAAAAGTAAAATTATACTGGGCCCAAAAAAATTCAGTTTCTAATGTGTGAGAGAGCTTCCTCCTTCCTGACTCCATTTACAAGAAACAAAGAAACAGGGTGAGGGGGGTACGGACAGACAGACACGGGACATGACGACTGGGCTTATAAACCTTCCTGTCCTGGTTAGCTTCAGTCAGCTCTCAGCAAATATCTTCGTTGTTTGGACATTTCTGTTGAGAACAATAAAAAAATTGGAGCATTTCCTGTGCAAAGGACACATACAGCGCCTGACCCGGCTTTCAGTTTCTGTGTTGAGAGCCGGAGTCTCCACAGACCTCCTCAGCTTGGTCTGGATAGTGTCCTGTGCCTAGATTTATACCCAGACCTTTCTTCAGTGGGTAATGTTTTAGTTTCAGAGAAGGAGGCGCACCCTGCCGATTCACGATGCGTTTGTGTTTCAAAGGAGCCTCTTACAACAAGGGTACAGTGTCATGCAGGCCAGCTGTGCTTGATGTAGCCATGTTCGGTTTGATTTCTGACCTAGCAATGGAAATTTAGCAAGCTCTAAGCCATTGTGTGCTGGGTCCAATGGAGGGGGAAGGTGTTTCCAACAAAGAACTTTTTATGCTGGACCTAAGGCTAGGTAGAACAATATCTCCACATCTTAAATAAGAGCACTTAAAAATATGTACTAGTTTCCACAGAGCTAGGAAAGTGACAGACTCTTCTGGCCCCACCATGAGCACCGTCTGTGGAGACCACATACAGTTTTGTGGGATCCATGAGCATCTGCAGTGGTGTCCAGATGTTGCATGTCAGGCTGCCATGATGGAGAAAGGCTGACCTCAGGTTGCGGTGAATCCACATTTGGATGCTACTGAAAGATGCTTCCCCAACATGGGGGTTTTGGCAAGGATTCGGCCAGGACCTACATGGGCATCTCCTTGTGTATTCATTCACTGAGCAAAACATCTGTAAGCTGTGTGGCTGGCAAAGCTGAGTGAAAAGACGTGCTCCAGCTTGCAAAGAATTCGTTATAATAGTTAAGCATTCCCAAGCTAAAGGGATGTGGAGCTCACTGTAGGGGCCTGGAGGATGGGGAGCTACACTTACCTAGGGGACAGGGAAAGCTTCAAAGAAGCAGCTCTGGAAACGAAGGGGCCACTTTTGTGAGGCAAGAAAAGATGAGCCTTTCTGGGGCCTGTGGGGCATGCGTGTGTGGAAAGTACAGAGTTGAATGGGGCTGGCCTGGGTTGATAGTTCAAGGATGGGTAATACAATAGAGGCTAGTAAAGACGACAATAAGGGGAGACCTCGTGTGACAGGGGCCAGGGCTTTAATGGAATTGGTAGAAACTAGGACTGACAGACACATGTGTTTGGGTGAGAACTTGGCTCTTCCGCTTCCTTGTCTTGTGATCTCGGGAGATGTTCAAGACATTCTCTTCCAGAGAATGAACGTAGCAAGGTTGGGCAAAGGGAGGGGCTGAAACTGTGTGAGCGCCTGGACTGGGAGCACCTCTGGAGTTGTCTCCTCTTCAGGCAGGGAGCCCCGGGCTTTTGGTTTGCAGCCCTTGAACCTGGAATGCTCTTGAGAAAGGCGGCCCCCTTTAACGGAGGGGGATTCTCAAGAGCGGTTCTCAGGGAGCGCTCAGCTCCTTAGTTCCATCCGTCCACGGTCAATATTCCCCGTAGTTGGGGAAATGAATTCCTAATTTCTAAGGAGGAATCTGGGAAATGCACAGTAAATAAAAAAGCAGACACATGCGTGTTTGTTTGCTCCTAGAATTCATTACTTATTTAGAGTCTAAGGCTTACCGTATGCGCAGTGGGTTCCTGCGAACTTGGTTGCTTAGCGAGAGCGTTCCATGCATCTTGAACAGCCTTCTCTCTCTCAATCATGGCAGATGAGCTGGAAAGGACCAGTCATTACAACCACAAGGACAGGGCTTGCTGAGGAACTGTTCCAACCTACTCACATTCGGGTCCAACTCATAGCCCTCCTGCAGTCGAGGACACCACACATGTGGCCCAACCCGAAATCACCAACTTACTCAAATCGGTCCTGTCACTTGATGTGAGTGGCCGAACGCATCTGACATTGGGACACTGGTTTGGGCTGTATTCCTTTCTTGCAAAAATCTTTATCACAACCGGGCGGTGGTATCACATGCCTTTAATCCCAGCACTCGGGAGACAGAGGTAGGCAGAGCTCTGTGAGTTCAAGGCTAGCCTGGTCTACAGAGGGAGTTCCAGGATAGCCAGGACTGTTTCACAGAGAAACCCTGTCTCAAAAAACTAAAAAAAAAAAAAAAAACACACAAACAAACAAATTGGTATCACCGCTAAGCAGAGACTAAAAGACCATAAGGTCTCCATATACGAACACAAATTTACTTGCTCACCCATAGTTATTGCCGCTTTCTTCACAATACTAGGGAATAGACTTAGCCTTGGTGTCCACCAACTGATGAACGAATAATAAAAATGTGGTACGTACACACAACAGAATTTCTTCATCTGCAGAGAAAAATGAAATTCGCAAATAAGTGGATGGAGCTGGTGGAAAACATCTTGTTCCCCGAGGTGACCCAGGCACTGAAAGACAAATGCCATGTGTTGTCTCTCATGTGTGTGGCCTACTTTTGACTCTTTGGTGTTGTGTATTTAACCTGCAGTACCTGCAGAATCCAGGAAACTAGGAACGGGCCATGGGACTGGGGGATGCCTTCGGGACGAGGGCCAGGGGTGGGAAGGTTTCAGAGGGCATCGGGTGGGGGTGAGGAAGATAAAGATACAGTAGGAGAGGGTTAGCCAAAAAACACAATTGTATGAAAAACCTACTGCTGTGTAAGCTAATGAAAAAATATAAGTTAAGAAGAGTGAGAAGGAGACGCCCTGCATGGCTGGCCAGCACTAATTCTAGAACCCCCAAGGGTTATTGTAAGTGCGGCTAGAAGTCTTCACCGGAGAAGCTTCCCTTTCTCAGCAGATGGCTAACACAGAGACTCACAACGGGCCAAGGTGCCGAGAAGAATTCATCAGTGCCGGAGTGCTCGGCTCTAAAGAGAACATCTGTATTACCACCACCACTCCCAAGGCTCAGGGAACGTAATCGGAGGGGAAACATAAATATTGTAAGAGCCAGGGGTCGAGGAAGACAGCTGAGAAACAGTGACTTCTGGATGTGACAAAGCCATCGTCCCCAGGAACACATAGCTGCTGTGGCTGCCTGCATAAGATCCACGTGAGATCAAGCCAGGGAATAATTCTACCGTGGATGGCAGGGAGGGTTGTCGGCGGTTGAGAGTTGCTGGGGGAAGGAGAATCATTTTCTTCAGGAATATGCTTCATGGTAGATCACTCATGCTCCAGTGGCCGGCCCTACACCCATGCACATATGGGCACTAAGTGGACTCAGTGAGTTATTTTAAAAGAGAGAGAGAGAACATGGAGTTGGGAAGGCGATGCAGTGGGAGGGTCCATGGAAGGAGTTGGAGGGGCAAGAAGGAAATTTCAAGATAAATGTCTCAGTGCCAAAGCTCCCTAGTGGGATTCTCCTTAGGAGTTGTTGGTAAGAAGAGCCCCCAATGCCCACAAAACAATATATGCGATTACCATTCCTCCCAGTTGCCTACTGGTAAGTCCCTCCCTGTTGCTGAGGACCTTCATCACCATTCACTTCCATCACAAGACACAGAGAAATCAACTTGAAACTGAGTTGGAAACTTCCTCTCTACTGGCTAGCTTGCTTAGACCCTGAAATCCAGGCTAGTAGGGGAGAAAAACCATAAACAAAACCATAAACAGCTTAACCAGCTGTGAACCCTCTGAACTATAGTGCCAACCTGCCAAGCAAGATGTACCCACTAGGGCACCGTTGGCGTGACTGTTACATTTACATGGGTAACCAAGTGGTCTCTGATTGGATTCGAGGCCTGCTCTACAGGAGGGAATTAATGCCTGGTTCTGTAAACTCAGTCAAAACTCCATGGCTCAGGAAGTCTTAGGCCTTAGGGGTAACTAATTTTTGTGTGACTCTTATTGTGTGACATGGGGAGGAGGGGGGTTATAGACCCCTATCACTCCTTGCTGAATAAGGGGCTACTGGTGAATTCTGGGGGAGAAGTCATTGTCTTTAGTTGGGTACCCATAGGTGAGTCCACCAGGCTCCCAAGTGCGGAAGGGGGGTTGTGGGGAAGAGGAGATGTTGGGAGAGGGGGATAGGAGAAGGTGGGTGGTAAGAGCAACCAGAATGTTCTGTATATGTTCATGAAATGGTCAAAGAAC